AAGCAAGTTTATCATACAATATCGGAGATTCATAGCTTATTCATAGCGTATTCCAGCCTTCATCTCTTTCATCTAACGTCGATACTCGTAGAATCATTTTAGTCTTCAGAAAATTGGTATGTTCCCAATTCGACTTTCAGTGTTCCGCCTCGCCTATGATCATCCTCAATCGAAGCTTCTTATCTAACGTTTATAGGCGACGGGACTCTTTATACGTAAATGCACAAATCGTTTAATCAAGTCGTCAAATCTTGAAAAAATTAATTTGAAAAGTATATAGAGAGACATTACACTCTCTGTATAATTTATGCTCACAATGATATAAATCAACATGATAAATTTGATACTTTAAAATATTTCTATTCGATTCAAATTATTGCAAAATAAAAGATATTCAAGAAATTCATTTTTTTTTGCACATATAATTTCACACAGACAATAATTTAAGGATTCCATCGAAGTTCTACGAAGAATTTTGTTCGTTTCAAAATTCGATGACACGATTTTTCGTTCCAACGAGGTTTTAAGTCAATCGTATATTACATACGGAAACTACGAGCGTCGATCTAAGCACTTGTGATCGAAGGATGTGGGTATTTTTAGGATCGTTTCCATCAAGCTACATACTGAATTCTCGGCGCTACTTGAGCGTTACATATATGAAGTATTATTAACGATGTGGAAAGTAACGGATGAATTGAAGCAGCTAAGTCTTAAACTCAAATCAAATATTTTCGCCGCAGATGCACTTCCTCTAGAGGAACGTTTCCGTATATGTAGATGCGTATGTGTACGTATATGAGTTAATATACTCATGGTGTAAATTTTCATCGCTGCTTATATCCTGAGGAGTTACAAAATATTATAAAAATTTTCATCTTGATAATTAAAAAATATCTATAAGATATTACATCTTGCACAACTATAGCTATAGTTCACTTTGCTCGGACTTCCAATCCACGAACAAGCAGAATCAATCAATCAATTGAACGGTGTTCTCGATCTGCAGAAAACCGCTTTACAGAGAATTTTGCTGTAATATGTATAAATTGACTCTACAATATTAAATTCTTTTGAAGAATGTGGAATTTATTTTCCAGCCAATATGCTTTAAATTTATTTCCTGCAAAATATCATTTATACAACAATAATTTGTTTTGCAGATTATTGCAAAACAAATTAAATTAACAGTAAAAGAACAGGAAATAAAAATATGCAAAGTAGATCGCCAAAAATATAGTCGCTAAATTTTAATAATAAATAAATAATATATTTACGTCATATTAATAACTGTATTCCTTTCTGAAACAAATATAATAAATGTCTGAAAGTTTTTTCTCATTAAACTACTACTTATAAGCACATCTGAAGATTAATCAAGCGGATTTCTTTACATCCAGAATATTCGTGTACTCGCATTTCCTTGGGATTTAATTTATAGGAAATGAACTTATTGTTGGAAGCAAAAAACAGCGTGAATTTTTTATATAGATTCACAGCAATTATGACGAAACATATTTACCTAATATGTACAAATCTAGGCTGCAAAATGAATTTCGTGGTTAATTATCTCGAAATATATTTTGCATTCAAATTCGTTTTGTAATAACGTTACGAAAATTTCACATCGAGAAGATTCAGCGATGATTTTATATTTTAATTGTTAAAGACTCGGAACTTCTGTTGTTCTCGACTTTCTTATTTAAACGCTCGACTTTAGATATTTATATCTGTAACTCTTTTTACAAAATTTCTTCCTAAGATAAAATTTACATTTTCAACACTCTGATAAGCGATATTGGCGCGATAATTCCTGTCGGCACCAAATCTCATGCGAAGCTTCGAGATGCTTCGAAGAGGCAAATATCCGTATAAATATATACCTATCTAAGATTTAAGTATTAAAAAAGATGAACAGACACAGCACGTCATCGTAGCGTGTGCAAATCAATCATGTTTCACGTTTTCCACAATAGATATCTTAATTGGTACCAATCAACTGCACAACAAGATATTATATGCTATAAATATTTTTCGGCAAAATTGAATTTTTTGCATTAGTAGTTTGCAAAATAATATCCTAATTAGTTCAATCACAGTTTAATGTCCTTTTTTTTCTTTGGCAAAAATAAAATTCGTATTCACACTTCACTTTTATCAATATATGCGCACATTTAATACACATACAGTTTACTTTATATATACTACAGAATCTCAATAATAAATGTACGCATTTTTCGATAAGCATGGAGGTATAAATGCGGATCTAAGTTTTTATAAAATTTATATAGAAGATTAAAGAAAAATTTTATTATTTTCTTCCTTCAAAAAATTTTGCTTATAAGTTAATGAAAAATATGCAAAATATTGATACCAATTAAAAATATTTTATATTATTATTAAACCACAAAACAGTTTTTAAAACACTATATTTTGTCGATCATGCCATTTAACGTTTAAATAGCAAACAACCCAGCACCACCGAAGTAATCTATGCAATATTCAAATTACAATTCGACATTTCGCAGTTTTCATAAATGTATCAATTGCAAGAAATGTGTCAAATGTACTTATGTCTTTTAAATTACGACGACTAGAATAAAACAAGCATAAATAAATAGTACTTTTAAACAATTTTTATCCTTGTACAAATAAAGAATAGTTAATACTCAATTCTCGAAAGAACATATAAAAATCAATTCAAGATTACCCGCGCCTAGTTTATACAGCAACATACACAATATAGAATATCGCTACTCAAAAGTGCATGCACCACCGCGTATAATATATATAAGAAAAGTTCCTAATTAATTATCCTAAATAATGACTTATGCCGATGATCTATTCCGAGCTATTTTGGCTGCGAGAACGCCTTAAGATGTTTGTACGTTTTATTTGCATCAAGTGTTATTTTTACTTTTCCGAAAATATAGTTTAATCATATTGTCCTATGGTACATTTCGTTTCACGCGTGATGCATCATTTATCTTTGTTTAACATTCGGTGAACAACAAGGATAAGTGATGCATCATGCGCATCATGCGTGAAACGGAATGCACCCCTAGACGGGAAATGTTTCGCGTATGTGCCTGCAAAATGGATCGACCTCTTTCTATTTTTTACCACTGTCGATCGGATCGCTCCACAGATTGGAATCGACAAGATATACGCAATGAGCAATATCACGTACTAAGAGTTTCATGATACAATAAATATTCTTTGTAAAAAACAAATTAAAAATTTAATTGGTAGTATTTCTTAGATGCCGATTTGTAACGTATCGACGCTGCGTGAATAAAAACTTGAACGGTAATTGTTAAAGGCTTCTTACAATATTTACATAACGCCATTGATGCAAAATGTGAATAAAATTATAGAATATTTATCACATAAAAGAGCAATTTAGATTTTCAGAATTATTTCAACTAAATGTTTTTTCGGAAGTAAATCAAATATTTTGCGAATTAAATAGTGTGTGTGTGTATCAAGTCGATAATGAATGAGATTCATATAACATATACATTGAAAAATATAATTATATTATATTTTAAATTATATTCATTTCAGTCTATAATTATCCTTAGAAAAGCCAAGTAGATTTTATTCACATCTCTGCTAAACATCTTATTTAACCTTCTTTTATCTTAATTAAAATTTGTCACAAGTGATACAGATGGAATTGTCACTTGTGTATACAATTAACATGTATATATTATTATGTATGTATTAACATATACACAAATCGTTTTCTTTGATGTGCAATGTATGTATGTGTATTACGTATACTTTCGCATAGCTTCAGCAAAACGTATAAACGCATCATAAAGCGACGCACTAGGTCGTTGACGCGCTTAATCAAAATTGAGAACTTTCATGTGTTCAGCGCACCGATATCTTCTCCTAATTTCGAACCATGTTGTTGTCTCATAAATCAAAAACAACTCCAAGAACAATTTTGTTTCTACATTAGTTTGTCTAATTTTGATGTTAAGTGTCAAACTACGTCGATCGTTAAAATCGCTTCAGCTACGTCCGCCGTCGTGATCGGCGATGGGTTTCAATTTCCACGATCAAATTCAAGGTTACCGAGCTGTGTCCATCGCGAATTGTTTTTCAGCGATTGTAAAATTACGGTAACTACATTGGCTATCACGATCGACGATCAAATTAATATATCTATAATCAGCTGCGAAATTTTATTAAAGCTTTTTTTTATCTCTTGATTATTAAATGATTTAGCTATTAATAAAATTAGCTGTCCAATCGATCATAGATTATTTCTCTAGATAATCATTAATTTTCTTCAATTGGAATTATAGTGGTCATTATCATTTCTTACAATTAAATTCTATGAGAGAAGTGAAATCTCTGTTTCATAAGAAATATTCGACACCGCGTCGATCGTCGATCGCCGATTCGACATAAAGACTTGGTTTTGGGGCCCGGGAGGAGTCGGTGCAGGGATTAAGGCCCCAGGGCTCTTTTCACTCTATTTCGAGTCACTTTCTATCTTGGTCTCCTCGTCCCACGCGATTGTCTCGCGCGTCTACTAGTGTCGTTGAGCTGATTCCGCGAATGGGGAATTTGTCCTGCTTATACTGCGATGGACAAGGACACCGGAAGATTATTTCGAATCGGCTGTAGAACTCCTGTTGGGATTATTTGTTTAAACGATCGTTAAACTACGCTCGAACCCTTAACTATTAGCGATAAAAACTCGCTAATTGGAAAATCGCACGTAAATATTAAAAGAAATTCGCCCTTATCGTAATAATTTTAGTTTGGCAAATAATTTGTGTTCATAAAGAGTTCATCGAAGATGTAGAGTGTGTAGAATATGTGTATATATGTATATAAGAAGATTTTTTGATTAACAATAATTGATTAGAATTTATATTCGCAAATTTTTTGATTAAAAACAATTTTAAACTATGTAAAGATTATGAAAATGAGATTGAATTGTTTAGACAATTTTTCGAGTTTTTCTTCCCAATTGCGTGTGAAACTTTCGAAAAAGGTTCGAGAATAAGTTCTGTAATACTTCATATGAAAAATGCATAGTGTCGATTTGGTTGAATACGTGAACGACTTTGAGTAGCATATTTTAACGAGGAGTACCGAATGCAGTCAAATGTGTGTATTTTCTTTTATAGTATTATTCCATAATATTATCTTCCTTTCGTATAAAGTAGCATAAAAGATGTTATGTACGATATCATGTGCATCTCAAAACGATGCGTGCACTTTGTCGTGGCCAGTAATTATTACGGTGAGCATTTGATACATTTGGCATAGTACGCTTAATTGTTATAATGAGCGGTTGACATGTTCCCTCTACATAACACACAGCAGAGCCCTTAAGCATACGTCATCAGGTAAGTACAACTTGATGGTATTTGTGCGTGAGAATAGTTTGGTAGTTGGTATGATCAATGACTATAGCATAACTATGCAATTGTGATTGACGTCGCCAGAGTGATACACGTTCGTGATATTGATTGGGGCATTAATTGGCGAAGACGCGACGTACAAAGATGAAGATATGCTTTTATAAATAGATAATATGTGCGAATTGTGGAATTTGTAATGTGCTAATGGAATTTGTTCAATAATAACAGCGTTTTTGCTTTCGATTCTTTGCAGCCTGACGATAAACAATTTAGATTTATCGGAATGAACATATTTTGATAGCACTTGCACGCTACTCTGATGATCAGTAGCATATCAGAAGAAGAAGAAGAAAAAGAGAAGTAGAAGAAGTTTTATGGTGAAAACCGTCTTTGTTGTTCATTATTAATAAAATGTAATTATACAATTAATCGCGAACGTCATCGAAGTATTCAGCAGTGTAAAAAGGAATAATAGCAGCGTATAATATAAATGTGTATCATTATAAACGCAAGAGCTTTCGGAAGATAAGAATGCATGTTTAAAGCATGCCAGAAAATTTTCCAACAGTTACGTCGCAACTAAACCGTGTCCTCTAATTAAGCAGCAATTAAAATCTTATATTTTAATTTATATATATATATTTTTTGTTGGCAGCGCGAATAAAAATGCAAGCGCAAATTGTTTTCCGGGATTAACGTGCACGCTGCTGGCGAGTGGTAGCGTATTGAAGTTCTTCAGAAGAGTAGTGGGCGTCGACACGAAAATCTGGCTGAAAGTTGCATCTGATGCCGATCGCTGGCGTAGAGTAACGCGACAGGAAACAGCCCCACTAACAGAGCGCAGCGATCTTATCGCGAGGTAGCGTTGCGCACTTCCTAGCGTTCGGTAGCGTTACCGGGAGGCGAGCCCGCTAAAGGGCGGTGGTGCGCAGATGGGGACAGCGCTGAAGCGACAGGCCCCGGGGCCCCAGCTCCTAAATAGCATTAAGACTCGAGTCGTGCTGTTTGCGACGTCTCAAAGTACTGCCATAATCGATGCTATGTTCTTCCTCGCCATACTCGTGATCCATGCGGTCGCTTCGATCAATCCGATCCATTCGTGATCTTCTCGTTGACTCATCTCTAGCTCCTGAATTAGAAACAGAGAAAGATTAGATTGTAATTTACAAGATAATATCTGCGCGACTTGCTCAAACAAATTTGGGATTTTCGTAAATTTTATGTCCTTATTGTTTTCTTAAAGAACAGATTCACTAATAGTAATAACTGAGAAGTAATATAATCATTGATGCTGATTTTAAAGTAAAGAGAGGCAAATAAAAATGGCAATCTGTCATAAATATGCTAGCTATAAGACATCAAATTGTATTTATATATAACTTAAAGCTTTTTTTATTTTTATTCTTAAATTTTTTACTAAAATAAAATTTGTTTATATTAAGAAATTATCAATTGTACAAATTTCACCGCAAATAATTATCTACATCAATTCAAACTCTACCCTATGTAAAAACAAACACCACTTGGATCCTGAATGATTATTGATGTGAGCAATAAGGATGAGATTTCAGCCAAATCATTCCAACATCTCATGCTACTTAATCCATGCAAGCTCTAAGCAAAAAAAAAAGACCAAATAAAAAAGAAGGTACGGCGCAAAGACTCCGACGTTCGAACTACCGTTGCGCAGGTGCGCAGAAATCGAGAAGTAGAAGAATGTACTCGTTTATTCATCAGTACATTGATACAATCTCGAACATATATTATGCGAGACGATATAAATCGCGTAAGATCTACGACGGATAAAGAATTCCTTCACTTCTGTCCTCTCGACTCACGCTGCTACGTCGTTAATATCTCTCTTTCTAACGTTAGATAATCTCTATTCTATAGTCCTATTCTATGTGAGAAGGGTTGGTGAAGGGCTTACGAAACAACATTATCAAATAAAACGAATATGTATAAGGCTAGACTTCGTGACATGTTAAAAATTTCAATAAATAAATAAATTTTAATATCAATTATTTTATAGAATAGATTAGACACGTTAAAATCAGATTAAAAATGTAGGATAATTTATAAAATTTCATTTATTGTTTGTAACAAAAAACATGCTTGCTATAAATAATAAAGTATAGAATATTAATTTTAAAGAAACGATATTAAGTGATTTGCAACTAAATAAAAAATATGTCGTAGCCAGAAGTTTAGCCAAAAAAAAAATTTTATTGGAATAGGAATAAAAAAATGAAGAAATGTCAGTGGCGTAATTGCGTTAATACAGTAGCAATCAAATAACTACTATGACATTAATAATATTTAAAATTAATAAAATATTATATAAAAAGCTTTTATAATAAATTTTATGTCATAAATGAAAATAAGAATATTTGTATACAAAAGCATATAATTTTATTTTCTTTATTGAAATAAAATATATAGTAAATATGTAGTAAAATTGAAAAAATGTCAAAAATCGATTACACAGTTGAAATTTAGAAGATATTTTCGCATTTATGCGTTTAACAATAACCTTTTAAGTAGAGGAGGTTCAAAATAAAATTTGAATTATAATTTATGTTAAAATCTTATATGTTAGAAAATCTTTGATTGCTCTCTGTGGCGAACTAGTTACTCCACCGTGTAAAGAAAAGTAAAATAATGGGAATCATAAATCATTTTCTCTCCTCGAGAGAAATAAAATCGGGTCGGTTCCGTGTTTCCGGGCCCATGCACCAAACCCATCTGTACTTACAACGCGCCTTTACAAAGGTATTCCTACACAGTTTCTCTAATTTTTTCAATCGCATCCGCACCCAGAATTAAATATTCACGGGCCGAAGCGCACAATTTGGCCGGTTTATGCCGCATAAAATCGCATCCGCGATGAAGCAGGAAGTAGAAACGGCTGCACAATGACAGGTATGTCCCGCGCTCGGGTCTTCTTAACTCGATTGTTTCATCTTGGTCTCTTGGTTACCGCGACCAAGTTGCTAGTTGTGTTTTCGGATGACTCCCGTGGCAGCCACCGCCTCCACTTTTACACGTAAACAAACAGAACATCGGAGTCAGAGCTCGTTGCTGACAACAACAAAGCCAATAATCTGTGCTTGCCCTCGCGACAGTTTCGTGGCTAAAATTTTTTTTTATACGTTGCACCCAACGATAATACGGCGTAAAAAGTTTAAAAATTATATTTGCAAAGAAAATAAATAAATAAGAAGTAACCCTAGTAGCACAATTCATCGGCGCAACATTGGCCCAATATATCCCCAATGTATGCCAATATTTAACCCATGTTTTGCCAAGGAATTGTGCTATTCGGAAAAATCGGGTATAGCTTTATTGGCTTTTGTCTCGCAAAAATTACGCGATTGCGCAAGCACAATCACGTAATATCTTGTCATCAAACGCGTAGACTCAACAAAAAATTTTTTAATATTCTTAATTTGCGTAAAATAAAATCAGAGAATAAATTAAAAACATTGTAAATATTCGAAAAAATTAATAGATTTTATCATATCTAATATTTATAGAAAGATAAATATTAATACTTCCATCGGACACTAAAAAACATCTACGTGTGCGCCGTTTTTATAAACGTCTATATTTACTTATATAAAATTCAAGGAATAAAATATGTAAATAAAATTTTGATATATTAAAAAATTATTTAAAGTACTTTCTCTTTCTTTAAATATTTTAATTAGATATAATATTAATAAAGAAATCGCGTGAATAAAATTAATAAAGAAAGCACTCGTGATCGATGATAAATAGCGTAATGTGTACGAAGTAAGTTGCAATTAAATAAAGTAAGCGTATTTAATGATTAAATACATCAAGTATGAGAAAGGAAAGTTTTTGCTGATTATACAAAAATAATTGGGGAAGCGATTACACAAATAAAAACGAAATTTATTCGCACTAACGGAAAAGAAACGCGCCTCGGTCTTACTGCACTGGGTACAAGTTCGTATTGACCCGTACGTTTGATCCGTATATTGCGGCTGAAAAGAAATATAACGTCAGGATAAGGTGATATTTTGATTTTATGATAAACGATTATGCGAATGATGCAGAGACATTTTTAGACAACAGCATTGCTTCTTCGATGGATGTGTGAAATAGAATGCGGAGTTAGAAGACTTGATCGTATCTTAATTAATAGGTTGTTAGAGGTCATAAATTAGTACATAATTACATATATAGATTACTAATAAAATTATACGTAACGCTGAAATAAATATAATGTATATAAATAAAAAATTATGCATAATTATTTATAAAGAATGAGTAAGTGCATTTATAGTGCACTAACATTTAAATTGCGTTGTAAAAAAAAACGTATAAACATTAATCTTATATAATTAAAAAAATTGATGTTATATAAAAATAATGAAAATACTGCATAACTTTTTAAAATTATTATTAGAAAATAGAAAACATATTAAAATGTTGATACGAATCGTGCGAGAAATGGCTATATCTTACGTATGCAAGTTTAATATCATGCTACAATAAAATAATAGACATTCTTAAATGTATGTAACATCAGTAATAATAATAGATGCATAGATCTCATAACGGTCAGACTATATTAACTTGCACTAATTGTTTCTAACGGATCTTTAAAAAGTAATTTGTCTTCTAAATTATTTTAAAATGATTTCATGCGACGACAATGTGCACAGTTAGCAAGCTATCCTAAATGAAGGAATACAATAAATAAGGAATACGAGAGTGCAAAAATATGTTTAAGGAAAATATTGGATTACCTCTTCGATGATAGTAAGTCTCATGAGAAGCACCTGAGAGGATAAGAATCGATTGTTAGTGACAAAATTGAATCTCGTTAGATTACTGATAGGACTAGAAAGCGGGAGTGAAGATCACGATTTTGTAAAAAGTGATTTCGAGACATGTGAAACAAATGGTTCAGTTATGCGGTATTAAATCCGCAGAACACAAATTAACAGTAAAATGATGTCGATATTACAATTTCTCCACTCAACTTCATATAAATAATATAACACATGTATATAGTAGTTACATTGTTAAATAGAAAATTGTAAAAGTGCCTTCCATTTAGTGACACAAATCGACACAAGTATCTTCCCATCTTTGTTACTTATGGAATGCGAAGAAAGGTAGAACGATATTTTTATCAATCTGTGTCAAAAAAGCATTTTGATACTATTAATTTGTAATCTGCGGGAAATGAGATATTGAGGGGCGTGTTAATAATGTCTCTTAAAATTGTTTTCCCGAGATACTATGATCAATACAACAATTTTTTCAAAGCCAATATTTCGACCTCTAGTTAATTTTAAGCGTTGCCAAATATGTTCGTAGACAAATTTGATAGTGCCAAAGACGTCAACCTATGTATTACGCGTTGATTTGCGTCAATACGACGATGTCTCTGCCAGAAATGACAGATCATTGTAAATCACCGCCAGTTTTACATTGGCTCCTGTGTCTCAATGATTTTAGATGGTTTCCACAAAATCATCGTCGAATGACCGAAATATTGGCTATATTTTACTACTTAAAATCTTTCTATTGTCCTGAATTTCATTATTATTTGTGCTAGACAAAAATATAACCACTTTAGAATTTTCTGTATTTGCATGATTTCCATAAGTTTAAAACATGGAAAAAAAGGTTTTGCTGAAATATTTAAAAATTTAGCAAGATAGAGGTCTAGAATAATTTTGTTGGGTCATCAAAATAATTATGTAGAAAACTCAAGCATAATGAGCAATACTGCAAAAAATTTTGATGTTCTAACAATCAGCCTAAGCGTTCCACATAATTATTTCGATAGTTTAACAAAATTATTTTCAAATTTGTATCTATCTAAATTTTTAGATATAAAACTTCAGCAAAGACATTCTTTCTGTGAATCTCTTGATTTACAAATCTATAAATCTTTAAACACATTTGTATATGTAATGAATGATCTTCAATTTATCGAAACAATCGTGATACCTGATGGCACGCGTTGAGGGTACGTATCCGTTGATGCATCAGGTGCTGTCACGGCGCGAGGTATCGTGGAAAAATCTGGAGGATGCGTCGCCCTCCAGTAAGCTTCAAGATACTCGGCAACGTGTTCGCACGCTTCCTCTAATTGATTTTCGTCTAGGATAACATCGAACATCTCTAACGGACACTGTGCTAGCTTTTCGGCAGCCACCATTTGTACATTAAGATGACGTATCTGGGATTTTCCTCGGGTCTTAATCAATCTTTGCAGAACTTTTGGCGAAGAAATTTTTAGGTAAACGACCGTGGGTGCTAAGCTAGTCTTCATCAACTGCGACGGATGGTTTATTGTGTCGCAGTCCAACACGACTAGCTAAAATTGCATATTAGACGTGTTCGATTAATTTAGTTGACATAAATTAATTTATTGTGTTTAAATGATTTATGGAAAATTTCTTTGTAGCAAAATAAATATTTAATTGAATTTAAATAAAAAAATGTTAAAAGGTTTATATTATAATATTTTATTTACAAACCTGTAGCGTCCTGGCAAGTTCAAAAATTCTTTCAATCTCTTGTTGGACTTCTGCTAAACAACTGCTCCTGCTAGACGTTCGCTCCATAATCGCCCTTTTAGTTGGATTGTTCAGCAAGGATCTTTTTGCTAATGATATATCCGCCATTACTCGTGTGATAATAATTCTGTAATAATAAATAATTTTTAGTAAAATATTAATAATATAATAATTAATAGAACACATTAGATTTCTTCTATTTAACACAATAACAAAAAAGGGAAAATTAGGACTGATGAGAATCGCTGTAATTAGTCAACGTTAATTACAGCGCTGATTCTTATCGGTTCTAATTCGCCCTCTTTTATTGTTGTGTTAATAGTATAAACAAATTTTAAATATTAATTTTAAACTGTCACGACATATTTAATGTTGCATATTGTAACAGGAATACCTTGTATATGTATAGGTTAAATCAGATTTAGTTACTTAAAGGTACATATAAAAAGAATGGATGGCTATGTTCCTTTTTCCTTGCTACGAGAAAGAAAACCTGCTTACAATTAAGACTGATATATAGTTGTTCGTTTTTCTTTATTAGTAACAAGAAAAGGTCAGACTACGTAGGACAATATATAAAGAGTCTCGACAGACCTTCCTTCGAAACGGTGTTTGAGAAAATCGAAGAGTGCCTTCTGCATCATATCCGTCACTTGGTAACCTTTGAGCGATGGTCCTACCAGCACTACGGGCCTCATGGAAGGTACTACATCATAGGGGGTTGTCGTCTCCTGAAAATTGGAGCAAACAATTAGTTCGGTTAATCGAGACGAGGCGCATTCGCCGGTATCGACCCCAGGTAGTCTCACTTACGTAGGACTGCTTGAGCACGGTATGCAATATTGAAACATTGAAATCAGTTAATGGCCACGTCGACTTGACACATGCGACCTCCTGCACGGCCAAAGTCCTTCTCTGAACGTGCGAACGCCCACGAGACATCTTCTTCAAGCACCGAAGGTACTTTGGCCAAGCAGCATGTTAGTAACTATGATATCGAGCTAAAGAATTAACGGCCTCTTACGAACTATAATCGGTTTGGCTATATTCAACCTTATGTGTGATGAACGATTTTCGCCACAGCACGCGACTTCAGCTACAAAAATAATCTCTAACCAAACATGTATTGCAGTGACGGTAAAAGAAGTGATCAATAGTGTGTTAGAATAGCGAAAATATTTACCAGTCATTTCTAGTTATTGACTACATTCGATATTATGTATAATCAGTATGATATTATACAATTGTACCATTTAAAATAAGAAACTTTCACAAACTGTTTATGAAACCATGAAAATTTTAATAAAAAATATTTAATTCACTCTTTGATAAGTTAATAATTTTATAGAAAAAGAAATAATTCAGTTATAATAAATCATTGAAGCAAGCAATTTTTCAACAAAACATCGAAAAAAAATTTTTTTTTGGTATCACATTTTATATATTTTTCTCTAAAAATATAAACTTTGCTTTAATAAAATTTATTTATGTCAATTCTTAATCGTGGTATTTGTAAAACATGGATTGTCAATTGCATACAGCCAGTGGCATAAAAGCCAGTGTTACGCAAAAAGAAAATGTCTGAAGAACGGATTGACAGTGCATAACTATTTAAAAAAGATAGCAATAAAATGCATTGTAGACTATGTTTTAGTATTAGCAATAATTAATTAAATCCGATTATGTGTTATGCGGTTAATAAGATAAAAATTTATTGCTATAATTTAAATTTATTACTCGCGTAATATTGAGTTTATACTTGAATTATTTCGAAGATATATAGTTATACAATTTTGAGTTATCTCTAATGTGAAAGTTTATTTTATTTAAAAAATGTACTTAAATTAATTTATTGCTTTCTTAAGCTTTAAAAGATAGTCTTTAGCTAAACGTCATTCGTTTAAAAGCTTCTGACTGGATGGAAATGCAGAGTTGAAAACAACTCTTTTAACAACTGAGCATAAAGAAAAAAGATTTCAATGGACAAAAGAAAATATTGATTGTGATTTCTTCAATATCATTCTGATGAAGTTTTCTTTTGGACCTGGATTTATCCCACGCGTGGTCGGTACAACCCTTCCTTCAAAGGTTAAACATCCTCTAAAAATTCATAAGTAGAATTGTTTATATAAATAAAATTTCAGTGTTTTGCATATCTTTTCCGAAAATCTCTAATTGAACATTGTAAATATAAAAAATCAATTATTAAGTAGAAAAGGGTTTAAACGAAATAATCGCAACTGGATATTGCAAGAAGAAAACGATTCGAAATATCAAAACCATTTGTGCACGCAATACAAACGTGAAAATGAAGCCGTCAAGACTATCCTTCTTAATGTGCAGGTGCAAATCCGATTGAAAATCTAGTCAATTATGAAAATGAAGTTTCGAGAAAAACCATTATTTAATCTAAAGCAGTTATTTTGGCAAGATTTAGAGGTTCTTACCCAAGACTCTGATCGAAAATCTCGACAAAAGCATATCTCGATGCTGTGAAGCTATAATAAATAATAATGGTGATTGAACGACTAGTAAATGCATTTTAGTACTTGTAATATACTTTAAAAATATAATTTTAATTTCGAATATATACTTGATTTCTTTCAGAGAACAGCTAATGACGCTCTTGTACCACTGACTGTATGTCTATACGAGTAAGAGAACTGTGTTAATCTAAAATTTGAAATTTAAAATCGACTAGTAAATATTAATATCACAGACAATGTCCATATGAATTATTTACTCACTGATAGAGCCCTTGGCAAAATATAATATTATCTCAACGTTTCTTTGTGATAAATTTTATTTCTTTTATTCAGTCTAAAAATTTTCGCTAATAAAATTTTTTATTTATATGTTATAACATAGTACTGCTAGGAAAATTGCCTTGACATGGACAAAGCCTAGTGTTGCAAGATTATATATTAGATAGAAACAGTAAATAGAATTGTCTGTACGTTTAACTAGCGTGAGAGAAATGCATCATGCTATTGTATACAGCTATTATCTGCATCATAAGGAAGAGTATTAAATAAACCGCGTGCAATAATCAATAGCGGAGCGAACAATTCTAGAGTTATCAGACATTTTTTAACATCTCAGTGTGACAGCTATTATTACGCATGACGTCATTGAGCATCACGCCAGCTGAGTAGGCGTACAGTGTCTACTAATCTAAATGTAGAAGTTTAAAAAGGTGTTAAGCTGTGCGTGATGCGTTAGATATTCGCAATAGCGTAGCACGCCGAACGTTTACCGGCTTCTTGAAGAAGTTCTTTCGCTTCTCCTTAGCGGGTGGGGTCGTCAGGGTTGACTTGCCAGGTCGTACGTTCCCGACACTGTCGCTGTCATCACCTGTCGAAAGAATACGGGATTACTCAAAATCTCATCTTTATCTCATGATCGATGAGTCCCTCTTTCTCTCAAAGAAGCTATGAAGAAGCACTCAACTGATGGGATGCAGCCTAGACATAATTCACTAATTTATGCTTGTGTATATCTGCTTATAGCAGCGGCTATCAAAGCAGCTAGCTACAGCAGTACTAAGAATCGCATGTGTATGTGTGTGTGTGTACGATGAAATTGCACGAATACGGTGACTTACCCGATGGCTTTAGCAATGAAATGAACACTAATAGGGCGTGTGAAGCGAGAGCACAGTGAGCAATTTTTTGTCGCGAAAGAGCATAAATGGAGAAGCTCATATTTCTGTATAAATCGCAAGAAATGGAAAAAAGATTCTAATATACTTTCGCATTAAATGTCAAACTGCTACAGTAAAACAATATTATAATTTACGTGTTCTATCAAACTTTATTATTTGCGCGCATGCAGTTTTATCAATTTGCGAATTACACAGAAGTTGCTTCGATTTAAAGTTTTCGATATAAGCACTCGAAGCTGGTGTTTGTATGTCTCAAATAGTGGGATACTTAGGATCTCAAGCGAGTGTTATTCGTCACATTTATTTTTTGTTTCGACCGGCCTGTGGCAACGATCCGTCCGCCTGTAATTCACTGTCAAGGATCAAACTGAGAAAGTTCCCGATCAGGTATACCGAATTGGGTACACCGTAAATTTTGGGGGGGAAAGAAAGAAGGACGTGCTAGGATACCTGGCGTAGGTGGTGTGGAACCACGTGAGGGCATACCACTCTCGCCTAGGTTCCCTGAAGACCCTCCTCGCGTCGAGTAGAGTCCTTTCGTACCACGCGCGGCGGTCGCCTGCAACCTTAAGGCCTCTAGCTTCACAGGTGATGGGATGAATCCCACATCGCAATTCTCTTTCACGAGCCTGCCAATCCACCAGTTATTATCATACTTCTCCTAAAAAGACAGAAGGCTTAATAGTAAAGAACATTTTTTAATTATACAGCAGAAAAATCTATAAAACAGAGGATGTATATTCGTACCTTGATGTGAAGAAAGTCACGAACGTCAAAGCTGACGGCTGATCCGTGCACAGGTGAGTCATCATCAACGGATCCATCATAGCTCACGTTAGTCCGCACTGCAAACGCTACTGGCTTCGACTGAAACGTAAATTGAAAAGTAGAAATAAGAACGTATTGAGTTCTCACAATCAGTGTACTTTAATTTATATTTATCAATGTTACAATTTTTATTTTTACCAGTCATTAGTGTAATAAAATTGTAATAAATCTAACGTTTAAATAAATCAATTTTAATAAAATGTTATTTATAAAAAATAAATGTATATAAAAATATATTTGTTTTATTTAATTTATCTGCAATTATTTTGTTTTCCAAAAAGTAAATCGGATCATCAATCTCGACGACAAATGTGCGGTATCGTCTCGTACCATCGTGCTTAGTTACGTATCATCGTTCCCTTGCCCGTGTTATCGACTTTTCTATCGGGTCACGGTGCGACTCCTATATCGCGACGTGTACATAAACACATATAACTATATCGCATGTAGGGAATAGAAAATAAAAGCCGGCCACACCGATGAGCTTCACGGCCGATCGACACATTGTCATATGCGTGGACGCATGTTTCTAGTGACAACATCGTCCCTTCAATAAAGAATAAAAGAGTATTGCAAAGCTTTTCATTTTTATTGCGACGAGCTCTATCCTTCGAAGGTCGTCTCCCGCCAATCAATATCCATTTACCGTTAAGCCGAAGAAAACTGAGCGGATCAGATCCTCGCATCTGACGTTCGTGCTATTTCATAATTTCAACACCATGTTTATCATTTAATCCCACAATCTATCGTTATAATTCACTATAAATAGAAAATTTCACAATTTAATACTTTATTCAAATATTTACAAACTTAACCCTCCTTCTGCAATCATATTTTTACTCCCTCCGTCTAACTTCAGTTTTTCTACTGTTCTAGACTTTCAAAAAGTGTGGAAAAATTCAGAGTTACTTTTTAACAACCTTATTACATTACTGAATAGGTTTTTAACAGACTATTTTAGAATGGCAAACAAAACTTCGCTCTCCTTTATTTCGAAAAAATTTGAGAGTAAAATTTCGCTTGTGCCAAAAAAGACCCAGATTGCAAGTGAAGGGACAAAACATACAATGCAATATTGTAATATAAAAGAGAAAAGAGTAAAGTATATTATCCAACAAACACTACCTAAAACTAACACAACTGTTAGTTTATTAATTTCCTATAATATATAACAGTTATACAAAAAGGATTATTTTGCCGAAGTATCTAAACATAGCTAGATACAGATCTGAAAGTAATTTTATTGGACTTTCAAAATAATTATGTAGGACACTCAAACTAGTTGCTAGAATATCAAAACTTTTACATAGGAATACTCTGCGTCATGCTTGAAATTTCTATATAATTATTTTGATGGTTTAACAAAATTCAAATCTCTGTATATCTAGTTAAATTTTTAACTTCTTCAACAAAATCGTTTTCTTCGTGTATACAAGTAAAAATTTATAAACAAAATTAATTCTTAATGAAGTAAGATGACTAATAAAATGAATCGACACTTCAAAAAATTACTCGCTCGTGTTCCGTAAAACACTTCTTAATATGTGAGTGCCGACATTATTACCGCATTTAAACATTACTACTGCATTAAAGCGGTAACACTCATACAGATCGTATTTTTCCATAGATTTATCTTTATGGCTTGGATGAGCGCTAAAAGAAGTTCTGTGAAATGTCCGATTGGCATCTCGCCGGATCTTGTTTCTTTTTTTCCCTTTCTATCTTAAAATTCCAGACGCGTTATGTCACTTTTCATATAAATTTATAATATTTACATCACGCCAAAGAAATATAATAATGCGGCGATAATGAGATACCAACTCCATCGATAAACGATGATCCAGCACGTGCGAAAAAATAAGAATAGCATAGAGCTGTGAGAGCGGAACGTGCGAAAAAATAAGAATAGCATAGAGCCGTTTTCGCGGAACGAACTAGAGCATACGAAAGATCAATGACTTACTCTGGCTTTTTCGAGTTGATTGAGGGCCTGCCTCTCCTTCTCGCGTCGCAAGCTCTCTTTCTCCTCGTCCAGCGAAAGATCCGAGCTCGGCTGGGAGTAGTTTGAGTCCGCCGAGCCCTGAGAGAAATCAGACAAGTCATCCATTAAATCCGCGAACTTTCATACATAGCAAAAAATTTGAGAAAACTAAGAAAAATTTTTCTTTTGCACATAGACATAAAAAATTCTTATTTGACATTTGTGGTGAATTAATAATCTCTTGCAAAAATGATCTTAGACATTGTTTAAATGTTTAAACTTTTAACACAAAATCTCAGATGTCATTAAAACTTAGATAATTTTTTCAAGGAAATTTTTTATTTTATTTTAACAAGATTAATGTAAAATATTAATTTATCTCTCTATCATAAAATATATAATATTTTGAGCAAATGATGTATTCAATGAAACATTCGTACATATTTCATACATAAATACATACATATTTCTGAAAAATTATAATATTTTTTGTGATTAAAATCTTTATTTTAATAGAATCACCCACCAGTAATTTTTTTCAAATTTGTACATGTTAACATATATTAAAATGTAATGCCTACAAATACTTTTTATGTCAGTCTTCTAAACTGAACATTTCAAGGTAAGTTTCATCCCTTGAAAATAGCTTACTTAAACAGTATTTATTTACTCTGTGTAAGACAACGTTAACTGTGACTTTGTCCGCGAGACCGTGAATGATAAAGCCCTACGACGCAGTTCATTACGTCTATTACGCCCTACAAGTATCGACGCAGATTACCTTGTAACAAAGGAAATCAGTCTAGCAAGTTAATTAGTTCCTGTTAAGATTAAATGAATCGATCGAGCATAGGAAGCAAGACTTACGCAGGCTCAATGTTCGTCATAAGCAAGAAATTAAGACCAGAACAAGCTTCAATTTGCATATTAATTAGAGAAGTGAGCGATTTATTAAGTATTTCAATTAATTTAATGTTATGTATATCGTTCGATTGTACTTATGTCTACAAATATGATTATGTAATCAATATAACAAATGATTATGTATTCAGTATAACAAATTCATATAATCTCCAAAATTTTTATTTCAAAAACATTTTTTTATACATTTGTTATTATAAACTACAATTCCTCTATTAAAAAAAAATTATAGTTTTTCATTTAATGAAATATGAGATATATATTTCCTACATTGATTCCTTTTATATGAAATTACTTTTATGTTAACAATATATAATTATAATTTCATAGCAGTGCCATAAAACAGCAGTGGATATGTGCAGAATATGTTTATTTAATGTTGACAGAACTTTTTTTTGCTTAAAGCACGTATCTTTCCAAATAGAAAAAAGCAGGATAAAACGAAGATTTTACTCATACATGGAAATTTGTTTTTTATTTCCCAATTTAATTACATTTAGGATTGCAATGAAAATTCTGTTATATTATGATAGTCAGTCATTTAATCATATAAGGTATCATTAATTTTTATTTAATCATTTGATTAATTTTAGTTAGCTTTCAGTAATAAGTTATTTCTATGGATTACTTCCATAGCATTCTTCTTTCTTCAAAAAAGCTTTCCGACGAATAAACTCACTGGGTTGACATATCGTAGCTATGCCAACGACCTTTCATATTCTATAAATATTTAAATATATACGTATATATTTAAATATATATGTACAAAAAGAAACTTAAGCATTCTAATATTTGTAGAACAATAATAGAGACTACCTTTAATAAGATAGATTGATATGACGGAAATATACATAAATAATATAAAAAAAAAATTACAATTATATAAGACAATTATTCTTAGCAAAAAAAGTGTCTTTCTAAAACATTATGTTGTATATATATGTATTTCAATTTATCTTATCTTTCTCAAAATTCTTTTAATGAGGATTGCATTTAGCTTAAAATAATTAATAAATATGTTTGTATTTACATTTTAAAGGCGTTATAGAAGAGAGAACAATTATGCACTAATTGTGCACTAGTTATATACGCATATTCTTATGACATTTTGAACATTTGAATGACCGCATCAGTAATTGTGACGCCTACCTAATGTTTTACTTTGAAAATCTTGTTCCTCTGATACATTTTTAATTAAAAAATTTAATTACAAAAAGCGTTCGCAATTATTCGACATCATTACACAAAGGAACAAGAAGTGTCAGTATTTGTAATTGTTCATGTATATTCTCAGGACTAAAGTTGAATCGATTTACGAAGCAGTCGAAATAATCATACCGAGCTTGTATATTCCATAATTCAAATCGTCTGTTTAAAAAAAAAAACATTTGGGAAAGTAATTGATATTGTTAAAGCTCATGTGAAATTAAGATTTCAAATATCAATTAATATCATAATAATACCGATGAAAAAATTGATGCAAATAAAATTTAGCAATAATTATGTAGAAACTTCTTCTCAATTGTCAATAAATTACAAATTCTAGATTATTAATGTCAATGTAAAAAAATGGAAGCCTCTTTGCAGAATCTAACTAATAAAACTCGAAAGATACCTCGAAAGATGTATTGCAAGTAAAAGAAGTGCACTAAGGATAAAGATTAACTTCAAGGCCAGTAGAGCATACCACCGATCCGTAAAGCTTGATTTTACACTAAAAAAGGAAAGTAAACTTCGATCGAGCGCGCGATCGGTGTAAATCGCTGCGCTGCAATAATAGCACGGATGATCGCTTCTGCTTTACGCCACATTGCCTAATACGAGCCTTGAACGATATATATATTGCGAAATATCCTATATGTCTAGGAAACGACGCGTCTTTGACGCGTTCAAACACTCATTCTCTTGCGCCTCCTTGCTCAAAGTATGGTCACGATAATCGGTTATTTTTATGCGGAGACCTTCCTGACTATATGGAATCCCTTGATAACTTTAAGTTTAATTACAGTTATCCCTTTGATGGAGGGAAATAAAAAGATAAGTACTGTTATTCCATAAACACATTTCTATTTATCGAAAAAATAAAAAATTTATGAAAAAATAATAAATCGTTCTTAATATTCCTCCTACTTTTGCCCAACAAAAAATATTGAAATCCTCGTTTGTCAGTATACCTGAGTAAATAGCTTGTTGTAGCCGGAATTGTGTTGATTGTACCCGATCATCGCCGGGATTCACCACCATGGACGCCAGAGTTGTTCTTCTGATAGTGCTTAATTCGCCTTCGCTCCAATTTGGAGCCGAAATTTATCGGGCTAATGCTCTAAGCTTTCACTTAGCCCACGCTACCGCATGGCTACTCTCATCAAAATTTGTCTCTATTGCACTGATATTTCACGCCGCTACGCCATGTTGAATGGCGCAGTGGCACAAAGTTTCGGAGCTTCCCTCAGACACGTCGTATCTTAAGCTTTTTTCGCTTTCGTTTGCAAGCCATCCAAATACTTAATCTTGAATCTTAATCTACTTGTAAAAGATCGTTATCATCACCCCATGATGACAAATTACGTTTCACGTTCATAACTAGCAATAAATTCAATTTGAAATATTCACTTTTCTAATAGCCCTCTGCAAGACAAAGTGTAAATGGACTATAAAAAATTGTCTAAAAGACATAATAAAGAAAATAAGAAACATAAACGTAGATAAATTACGATGGACGAACGCAGGCGTAATTTAATGAGATAATCAAGAATCAAGAAGTATCAAAATTCGTTATAGTTTACATGTACATGTAAGTATTATATTATATGTGTGTGTGTGTGTGTGTGTGTGTGTGTGTGTGTGTGTGTGTGTGTGTGTGTGTGTGTGTGTGTGTGTGTGTGTGTGTGTGTGTGTGTGTGTGTATAATCTATAAAAAATATCTTTAATTTGATCATTTTAGATAAATTAATCTTTTGAAGACGGAAGCTTTCTAACAAAGAAATTTAAAAATCTTATTTTCTAAGAGTTTTCGGGGGGAGAGGGAGGACTAAATTTGATTTTGGTCTCGAGTATTAAAAAGACATCAAAATTTTAAATAAATAATCTGATTATTGTGCAATATATATTCTGGGAAGTTTTGGGGTTTGTTTTTTGTTTGATTGAACTAGTGTATACTTTTGAAATTTAAAGTGAGATAGATATATGTTTAATACATCTATATTTGGCAAAAGCGAGAAAGAGAATTCTAGTGTAGTCTAGTGCAGGAATAAAAAACAAACGTTTGATATCGTTAAGTTTAAATGTGACCTGAAATTGTCGAATTTCAAATGGATAATAACTTCAATGAAAGATCTAATGCCATAGGGTAAAAATCAAAATTTGGAAGTCAGTTTAAAAATCAGTATAAACTGTTTACGTAACGTAGATAAGTTTCAAATAAAGCAAAACTGAAAATTTAATGTTATTTTGCAATTTAAAATTCTTTAAAATCAAGTTTTACAATAATCAATTATCTTTTTGAGAAATTCTGTCCACTTTATTGGATTCACCGTACTAAATTTGTTATTGTTGACCTTAAATAAAGCAACAAATTATTCAATAGATTAAGTTTTATAAAAATCAAACGGCAGCTTATAAAACAAAAAGGGGTGACCCCAAATGGGGTCGACCGTCCACAAAGGGTTAAAGTCTTTCTGAAAAAATTTTTTTATAAATAAAACATAGTTCATGACTTTGAAAATATTTAATATAAAGACTTGCAAAAGTTTTATAATTTATAATTTACATATAAATAAATATGTACAAAAAATGTTCTGTATTCTTTAATAATTGTTCTTTAAAAAAATATTAAAATTTGCTTTGAAAGTCGCTTTCTAGATAAAAGCTAGCATTTAAATTTAGCACAGTATTGACTTCCAGGTGTTATATATTGCAACGTGCTGTCATAAAAATGTATCGTACAATATTCTAAAATTAGGCAAGAAAGAACGAAATCGAACCATTGTCTAAATCTACCCTTATTCTGCAATTGACCTGGTCAAATTTATTTGTGAAGAAAGCTTGGAAGAATTACGAAGAAGTTAATGCCACTCCCTAAAATTGTCTGCCTCATATCGTCAAAAATATACACATAGCACGAAGCATCAATAAATTACATAGTAACGAGATATGACATAGAAGATAAAAATATCTCGTATATTAAGTTAATGATAATGAATAATGGATTATATCACTCGTTTCTATCTATACTCGTAATAGGATATTCTAGAAATTTAGAAGTTTTATATTCTTAATTGTTTTTTTTTATAAATTGTAATTATTTTTAACGGAGTTTATGGATATAAATTATATCATTTTTACCAAAAAGGTTATATAAATTCACGGAGTCATTACCTAATTAGCACATAATATTTAAGCAATATTTTTAAAATATTTATTTCATATTTTTACACTAAATAAATATTTAAAAAGTATTTTTTTAATATTGTGTGGTGATTGTATAGTTTTATTGACTCTAAGTAATTTTCATACAAAGATTGATAGAATTATAATAAAGTTTAACTAAAGTAATGTCAATAAGTTGGCTTCTGCTTGAGTAATCACTGAAAATGCATATAATATGACTTTGATCTACCATTTCTAACGGAGTCTATAACTCAACTGATATAAAGTTTCATTACTTTGTGCACGCGATCAGCGTCTGTTCCATTGAAATATTTATGATAATTGATTGAAAATTTTGTTAATTGTAATTGGAGAATTTTATTAGGTTTATGTTTTATATCAATCAAATATCGTGACGCAATTCTGTATGTCGGATCCCATATATGTCGATTAAAATGAATTATTTAACGCAATTGCAATAATTTGGTTGATTCATTTTTATCATAGAAAATATCGAAGACACTAATATTATGCTGCAAAAATTAGAAAGTAATATAGATGTTTCTAATTATCTAGAATTTAAAAAAAATGTGCTTTACTTTACCTTCTCCTATTTTTAAAAAAGAAATATATTAAAACAGTACATTAATAATCAATTTTATAAAAGATTTAATATACACTGCAATTCTAATGTCTACAAATCATTGTATTCGAGTCACAAAAATAATTAATTAATAATTAAAGGGAATTATCTCCATTCGTGAGAATTTATAATTCTACTTTAATTTGTAAGTAAATTGTGGGATTTGGTGATAATCGTTGTGCGAATAAAAAAGCAAATTTTTCTATAGCACGCGCTGCTATTTTCTTTAAATTGGCTCAGATTCAAAATGGTGTTGTTCTATTTTATCTGGCTCAATTGCACGTAAATTTAACGACGAACGAATTTTTCAATTGGTTATCTATATAAAGTCCTCAAGATAGGCGAGATTGGAGATCGTTTTCAATTATATTTATGTAAATTGACTCTTTCGATGGAATTTAAAATTTTCAAAAACGGTTATTAGAAAATCTTAATCAAATAGACAAGAAAATGATTGTAATTGATATTTTTATACATATAATTAAACAAAGGATTTTCGAGCAAATAATTTTAAAATCTAGCATTCTCTTTCCTATAACCACTCAATTTATGTTCTCTATCATAAAAAAATCCTTAACTGCAATATATTGTAATGCACTTTCTATAAATATTTACATATTTCTAAAAGAATCAACTTGAATGTTATACATCTCATAAAGATGTTGTGTTGCTTTGTTATAAATAGAATAAATTTCCTTCAAACGGACCAAAGCAACTAAGTTTATAATACAAAATTTTTAAAGAAAACTTTGTTTTACGTTATAAAATTCTGTTAAAATAAATATGTAATTAAAATAAACTGTCCTACTTTTTACAGCTATCATACAAAGTGCAACAAGATGCATTGGAGAATTAGGAATTTAATTTACTGCTGGTAATTTTTCTATTACTACTATTTTCAAAATGAAACTTTTTTTTTAAACACCTTTGCCACACTTTTAAAAAAATAACAATGCTAACGTATAATTGCAATGAAAATATAAAAATTGAATTAGAGATGCAAAGTAACCTTTTATAAGAGAATTAAACATCGAGCGTTGTCACGCAATTCCCCGATCACCTCATCTATCTAGATAATTAATTAATTCATAGAAACAACTTCATAAATAACTTCGTTATTAGCTACATGAGTCGTAATCAAAAGTAACAATTCGAAGAAACACGAAATTGACTCTTGAATTATCAATTTCATTTTTAGATAATCGATACTGTTGACCCTCTTAGAAATCTGTGCCTTCGAATTCGTTGCTTGGTTTAAATTTCGACATATATACCCGAAAATGATATATTAATAAACAGTAATAAGAGAGAGAGAGAGAGAGAGAGAAAGTTGCTTAATATTTTTTAAAATCACAAAAAGATTCAATTAATAAAAGGCAAGAGGAAAGTAAGAAAAAAAATCTATATTTTATCTGAAAATATATTTTAAAAATCTACAATATTTTTATCAGCACGGAAGATTTTTTAATTTATGCACGAAACATTTTTATACTAATTTTTTCGAATGCTCTATTTAAAAACTTCATCCGTTTCTTTTTATGAATTTCGGCTAAATAAACAAAACGAGTGACATCATTGTAGCATCTGTAACATTTGCTAGATTAATTTTTAACATTCTTCTAAATCTTAAACTCTAAAACTTTTCTTTTCTTTTTTCATTAACACTGTGCCAGATTAAACCAAATTTAATTTCTTTAGCAGATCAATAGATCAAGCCATCTTTTTCTGAGCCATAATCCCCTTTTACTAATCCGCGAAAATATAGTTCTCACAAGAAACGTCAAACGAAGTGGTATCCATATTATGTAATGAATAAAGTCCAGTTTACAAATCAAAATTTTTCATTGTAAAACTCGCGCTTAAGTCGCTAAACTGATGATACACCACAGCACCGTGGCGCTTGAAAGCAGGTCAACGACATCATGCAACCTCGAGTGCAGTTACCACATTCCAATTCGCTGGTCGATCGACAAATAGCTCCAATCGGCCTTGTCAATTTTCACCTGCGGACGCCTGCGTTCATCCTGCTAATTCTTATCCTATTGTTTACCCTTTACGAACCTTCTCCCACAAAAAAACTCTAGCACCAAACAAATCACGTTTTCTCATCTTGACAACCCTTCCTTCTTCTCGACATGAAGGAGCACCTTATTTCAAAAATACTAAAAATATTTGTGCACCTCGCGTATCCGTTTCTTTCCAAACAATCACTCCGTTTGTCACTAATTGTAAGTATACTCAAATATCTAAAACAAATTCTATTATTAAGAATCTCAAGAATCTTTTCAATTACGATTAAAAAATAATCACCCTCTAAACGGGCCCGGTTTGCATCGCGCTTATTCGCGGCACGCTATCTTTCACCCCCACGAGCTTTCACTGCTGCAAGTTTTCACGGTAACGGTAGATGCGGTAAACTGCGAGAGCGATAGTCGCAGGTGCTGCACGGACTGACTCTACATGGTCTTTGCGACCGTGTGCGCTTTGTGGCTGGGTCGCCGTTTCTCTGGCAATGCCATTTTGTGACTCGTCCGTGTGCGGGCGCCACTGAGGATGGTCGGACGACACCCCCGTTACTATATCGATCCGAGGGGTGCTCCGTTCTCAGCTCCGCTCCGCTCCGCTGCGTCCTCCTCCGCAAACCACCCGGAGCGCGACCCGCACGACAACGCCAGGCCACTGCTCCCTGACGGTAACGTGTCCTACCAGTTGTACACGCATACAGTGTTGTTCAAGAATAGCCAACTGATCGTGGAGGGTTGAATCGCCAAACTCACACACACAATCGCGAAAATAACAACAATTGTTTCTTGAGTCACATCACACATAGTAAATAAATATATAGATATAAATATAAAAAGAAAAAATCAGAATATAAACATTCCCATTTTTTTCTTCTTGTATTTATATTTATTTTTACTAATATGATCTTTTTGATATAGCCAACTAATTAATTTATTAGAGATATGATAAGTCACTAGAAATATGATTAATGTAGCTAATCAGTATAAATTAACTTTTCTATTTTTTTTTTTTTTTTTAATATTGCGGTTAGATAATACGGAAAATTTTAAGTTTTCCTATTTGCACAACTGTAAAAAATTATAGATATTATTTATATTTGGTGTGGAAATAAATCTTGTGCGCTGATAGTAATATGCGATGAATAACACACTTCTCTTATCAAGCTTGATTTTAATATGTCACTCAGTTGATCCTTTAATTATCGTTAGCATTACACATTGAAATGAAACAATGTTGATTTCTTTTCAAAACCAATCCATTTTTATTCATCGCATGATCGTATAAGTGTCCCATATGTTATAAACAGGAGGAATTGCAGATAAAAAGAATATTACTCTTATCTCAAGCAATATCGATCCATGACATATTCTTTGTACTATATATATCCGTCTATTGTATTACTGTTCGACGAATCAGTACTTACATAATTTTCTGATTGCAAGCAATGATACATTTTTTATAGTCATTGTTGCTCCTATAATTCAAACGAATAATTATGTGTATATAGCAACATTTTCAATTGATAATTACTTCCCATGAATATTTTAAACACGAGTGTCATTAACGTATATAGCAAAAAATTTAGCTAATAACTTTGGATATCCCTTGATAATTTGCAATAAAAATAAAATGCATCAAATAAAAATAATAATGTTAAAAATAGTTTGTAAAGAATTAAGCTATTTTCTGCAGTCGGTTTCATTCGACACACACACACACTGCAAATCTAGGTCATTTATGTAGGTCACGCAGGGTGCGTGCGCGTGCCGCCCCCTTCGCTTTTAGTCTGCTGGGACCTTCGGTTTTGCAGTCAACTCTGAAGGTTACTGCAGATGTTACTTTATACTTCTTTTTTTCTTATATTTCGCTATTTTCATCGTTTAAAGTCGCCGTTTCTGATCTTGGAATTTATATCTCTTTCATTTATACAATTTTGATAAATTTAAATATTAAAGTCTGTAGAACTCTTTCTTTAAAAGAATTCAAAATCGTTCGATTATTTTGAAGATAAAGAAAGTGTAAGAAATCCGGGACACCCTGTAGATATATATATGGAGTAACAGCTTCGATCTCGAAATCATAGTTCATAAATAAATGATCGGTGAACTATACGAGTATGACGGCAGCTCCTTTCATCGCGGTCACGTGGCATAAAAATAAAATTTAAGAGCATTGTGCTTGCAAAGATAGAACGCGCATGCTCGCGATACCAATTAGCACACGCAATGTTTCACAAACATTTATCTATAATACGATTTTACGAATAAATAGCACTTTAATAGAAATGCAATATTATGATCGTTAAATAAAGTATCTTTTATACACTATCGATATTTATACAAGGTCAATCTATTTCTACTTCGTTTCTTACAATATCATCATCTTTATTAGTATTTATTAACATATTAAATATTTTGATTCCAATAATCTCTTAAAATGTAAGACATTTACTGCAAAAGGCTTTGTCACAATTGCGATAATTTTCAGAGATCGAAAGACACAATTGTTATTTCAGTAAAAATTTTCGACATTATTTTAGTATCCAATGCCTCAAAAATAGATCCGTGATATTATACAAATGGTATTCATTAACAATTATGAAATATTATAGAAGTGTTTGATTTACCCTTCTTCTTCCGAAAGGCTTGTAATGCTCCCGTCTCGCTGGGCGCCGTAGATGTGCCATCTTGAAAGATCAAAGTTGGTGTATAGAAAATCTAGGTGAACTAAAGATATTGCGATGCTCGTTGTTACCGAGGAGAAGAAGGTATCTGTCACGCGCGTCCCCAGTCGACTGGAGCAGTTTTCGTCAGCTTCGCGAGTCCGTCAACTTCCGACACGAGATCCGAGTTCTAATTCGGAGCCGCATTTATCACGACCTACCGTTTGTCTTCATTTAATTTGTTCCACACAAATACACGGCACATACACATCCATTCCATGTAGAATAGAAGATGCATGGAAACAAGACCATCCGTCGATTTAGCACTTGATCAAAGATTCAAAAAACGAAGTTATCACTTTTCGCAATAATTACATAAAAAAAAACAAATGACAGTTTTTTACAATTAGTTAAAGATTTGTAGTTAGAATTGTTTACTGGATTATGCAAAAATTTTCTTTGTATATGTATGGTATACATTTAACTCTATAATAGTAGTTTTTTTTTGTCTGTATTCACGTTTATATAATGTAGTGTAATTTTCAATCCAAATTTATGATGCTATTTGATCTGAATAAATTCCAGGTTTATCAAACTTTTTTTTATTTTGCATTAAACGCCAATTTTGATTTTTTAAAATATCTTTGTTTTCAAACTTTTCACTTTGAGACAAACCAACCGATCGTTTAATAAAGTTGTCTAATAATACAAATGACGTAACTATATATTTGATAATTTTACTGAGTAACGTTATACTTTTGAGAAAATAGGTGACGTCTAATACTACACTACGCCTTCTCGAAAATTGGAAACTATTCCTTTAGAATCGTCCGATCTTTGGATCGATGCCGACAAGTTAGTGTAACAGTCTCTGACATCCTCTCTCTTCAAGAGTGGGTATATCAGACATATAAATCTTTAGCCCTGACCTTGACTCATCAGAATCAATTTTTAGCATCGAAAATGAAACGAAATTAATGTAATGATAAATTTTGCATCTATTTAAAAAAATTGCATTTTGAGTTACATAAATCGATCAAAATTTATACCTTTAATTTTGTAATGCAGAATGTAAAATTAAATTAAATTAAAATAAAACATTGATAATCATGTGTTCCAAATTAGTTACATTTAACTATATAGAAATTTTGTTAAATTTCGAGATTATATTGTTAAATAAAGATCTGTTAAAAATATGATTTTATAATAAATTATATATCAGTTTTTAATAATTCGTAGAGATACCAGAATCTAGATGTTAAATCATGGTAATCCAATAAACAATTTTGAGAAATCTCAATAAACGCGGTGATTAATCACTGTATTCCGTACACTTGCGCAAGGTCCTCGATCAATCTGTCTGTCAATAAACTACTTTTTAATCATGCGCGACATGTGAAATTTCACTCCACTACGTTAACACCAAATCGATCACTTTGTTATCCAGTTGCAGGGGTACAAATGTCATATGTTCATTTCCCACAGGGCTCTAAAATTCCCATTGGAATAATATACCCGAGTAACCCAAATAATCACATCGACGGGAAACCGGTTTACAATTTTCAAAAAGCGTATTTTTTTTTCCTGAGTTATAGATCCGATCTATCGACTAATGATTTTTAGGATCCGATGCGAGACAAGCTCGGTATGGATCTGCTTGTAATACTGGTGAGTCGAGGAGCTTTTAGAACGCATCGCGACCTCCTCCGCTATAAATAAAACGGCCGCCACACCGAAAATCTCTGCCAGCGAGACGGGTAACGTCGATTCGCCGTAATTTTCCTTGTAGAACCTCACAAAATTTTCCGGCTGACGAGAGTTAGCCGAAATAAATTGTGTCGCTAGCTTCTTCGGATGCTGAACGTATTGATTTGCATGCCAAGAAACATCCTTGATGTCTTCTCTACGTATGTTTTGAATTTTTTCGCCACACCCATGTCTCATCTACGTCAAATACAATAATATTAATACTAAGATTTTTGTGACTCTTTATGATTTATTGTTTTATTCTAAATGGTCTTTTTTGCTTTAAATTTTGTTGGAGATTTTTAGCAAATCTAATTTTAACAGTTTATTTCAGAATTTCATAATTATTTTTGTGCTATTAAAATTGTGTTTCCTAGAAGTGTTTTGGATATTCTATTGCCAGTTGGCTCGTCAATGGTAAATTTATATGAATTTGTACAGAATTTGCTAAGATAAATGTATGAATTTTTGAATGTATATTCAAAGATGCTTATTTAAAAAAATTAAGTTTTATAATTTCAAGACACGTTTCTTTTCTCTATATTCTAAAATTGCAACTTTTTTCCAGATAGCAGACACACGTCATTTACATTTTTGTTATTTGTTTCTGTCATTTGTTTAAGAAGAGATTATTTGATTATACTGAAGACAAATTATAAATATATTCAGTAAAACAATAAATATGAATATGCAGAAAATTAACAATAATTAAATAAGAAATTTACTTTTAGATTATAATATCAATAAAATGAAGCATTATAGTGCAAGATCAAAATATTATAATATTATATCATAATGAAGTGAAATGACGTCTTCAGTAAAACTGTAATCATTGACTTTTATAACACGGTCATTTTTGTCACTTTATATTATTAGTATCTACGAACATGCTTATGTATTTGACGTCAGAATGGTGTGTGTTTACTAATTGAGTTATTAAAGCATGAGCAATTAAAAAAGTAATACTATAAAAATGATATCGATAATATAAAAATTTTGCTGAATATACAGCAGCCTTGACTATATAGTATTAAAAAAAAAATTCCTCACAAATTGACGTA